AACCTTTATTAGGCCACCTTTTATAAGCTTTCTCTTATTAGTACTATATCAACCATAAAATTAAAAAGAAAAAGTAACTAATTGAGCATTAAAATTACATTTTAAATATTCATGATATTTATAAAAATTAAAGAGAATATAACTAATTAACCATTAAATTAGTATTTTAAGTAGTAATTATATCTTGGTTTCCTTTAAGTATACAATCATATTTCAAATATTCTATCATTCTCTAATGTTCTCAATCCACGTATCACATACTATTTATGCATTGTTTGTTATGTATTAATACCTTGGTTATAGAAATCTGAGTTAGGCCATATTTGGGAGTGCTTAAAAATAAGTGCTTATTTGGGTCATTAAGTATTTATTAGTATTTGGAAAATAAATCCGAAATAAAATAAGCACTTAAAAAGGTTGGGTGCCAAATATAAATAAGTATTTATTCGAATAACACTTATTTTTAACATAAACACTCCTAAACATGGCTTTATACATGTATGTCCTCATCTATAATATTATAAAGTGGGTACTTGACTTTGTTTTGGTGTAGGTAATATAAAGTTAAATTCAATTATATAATATTAATTTATATCTTTACCCTTACTTACACAAATACATAACACATGCCCTTATACTAGTCATTTTAACATGTTTATCTGTGTATTTAAGACATATTATATGCTCTTTTGGAGGTATTTGGTTTTCTAATCAATTTTATTTTCTAGGGGATTTTTTAGGACATTTTCGGAGCCTGGGTGCCCATAAAGGTCTTGAATTTTCTGTTCAAAACAACTGACATGGAATTCTCATTTGTTTGGAGTCTTTGGACTCTACGATTCTGAATGCTTTGCAATCAAATGCTCCCCTGTCTTGGCAATGCCTTCATCTTCTTTTTGCAACCCGAAATCTTCTTCAACGAGATCAGCCCAAAGTTAATACCTTAATTCACCGGTCAGCTCAAGCAACTAAAACTTTTGAACAGAATCTGGTCTGGTTTGTTGGAATGCAAACTTGCTTACCAGATATAATAGACTATGCATATGCTGATTTCTACTAATTTGACACAAATGCATTGTGACTACTCCAGGAGAGCCCATAGTCCCAACCCAACATTTTAAGGGGACTTCACATATAAAGTCATTCCTATGCCTCAATGAAACTCAAGACTTGCTGAATAGTGATGTGGGTGCAACAACCATATGGGTAGAGGTGGATATTGGCATTCAAGAAAATTAGCAAAGGTTCTCCATGGTGAGAGAGTGTGACAAACATGTGGATATGGGGCCTAATATGGATAGACTAATAGAAACCTTTGCACTATATACTTGAATTTTCTAGACTTTCACTTTGGGATGGGCCTGGAACTATTTCAGGTTGTGCTTTGGATGAAGTCTTGGCTGTCTGGAGTAACAGTATGGGCTGTTTTTATTTCTGGGAGCTTGTATTATCAATCTTCAAAAGAGGCCCAGGCCTGCAATCCTTATCAATGATGTCAGTGAGGCCGGTGACATTACAAGGGGGCAAAGGAACAAAGCAGTCTGCAACCGAACTAGCTTTGGCAATACTGTTGGCTGCTGAGTTGACTACACGGCCACAAAGTAGAAGGTTGCTTCTGAAAAGGTCTGAGACAAAGAAATGATGCCCTGAATAATGGGAAAGTGGTGGGCAAGGTCCTTTGAAAGCCCAAGGTCCTTTGGCACAGCCAGGCCCAATCTGATCGCTTCAAAAGATGAGGACAGACACAGCGTAGACGGAGGGAGCTGTATTGATGATGATAGCCAGGCCGAATTTGCATGGGCGCTCCACACAGAACGTGCCCCACAGCCCATCTCAGACGTGTACTGGAAACATCTCCCCATGACGAATATAAGAGATGTTCTCGACGCACACTGATATGTGCATGTAGAGTACCTGTAGGGTGCGCTCTGTGGGGCACCAATCTGAACTCAGTAAAGCCAGTTATTTTGGAAGAGGGGTCAAACACTCCAATTAGCTATTGACGTTTAAATTAAAGGATTAGTGATTGTAATTACTCTACCCCACACCCACGCCAACACCCATGCTAACGTGTCATGTACAAGAAGCTTTAAAACAGCACAATAAAAATGAGTCTGGATTTTCTGCCCGCAAGAACTCTGCCCATATCTACCCATATAATCATCCTCCTACATAGTATTATGCATGGAAAGATGTTCCCAATGTACAGCGATAATTTGTTGTGGGTAGACATGGGCAGAGTTCTAATGGATAGGAGATCTGGAATCAATAAAAACAGCCAACCCTTTCTTGATTTATCAAGTATTGTAATTTTTAGATAAATTACATATTATCATCATATATTTTGAGGTTAGTGGTACTTAGCCTTCAAAACTTTCATTAGCAACAAAGACACCTCTGGCATGAATATGAAAGTTAAGGGGGTTTTTGTTGCAGATGAAAATTGGGGGGTCAACCTGACCCAACACAAAGGGATATCCATATATATAAAGGGATTGTACTAGAATATCTGCTATGCTTATATAGGAGTCGTTTTTCGTTACTGATAAGAAAGAAATAATTGTTTTAGACAAGAAACCAAGTTCGATTCGACCTGTTTGCAGTCCTACAGGTTTCATAAAGGTAAGTTGCGTAAAAATAAAACAAGTGTATATATATATATCCTATATACATAAATGAAGTAATTTAACTTCGCCGGTTGTTTATATATATATATATATATATATATATATATATATATATATAAATAATTAAATGCTGTTATTAGCAAAACGCTCTAACCAGCTGAACTAATGAGCCAACCAAATGGTTAAATGCTGAACACTTAGAACGTGGGATTCATATACGAGACCAGATCTGCTCCTCAGAGAGGGCGCCTCACATGCATATACTACCATGCATCAGGAACATCTCCTGTATTTTTAAATTATTATTCACTGGAAATATTCCCAATGCACGGTGGATGTGCATGTGAGGCACCCAGTCTCCTCATATAGTGGTGGCATTAAGTCTTGCGCTTAGGACCCATTTAGAAGGGCTACAGTTTTGATTTAGCTGCTTCCATTAAATCATTTGAATAATTAGCTTTACAGAAATTCAATTTCTTGTATGCCACCAGGGGTGATCATGGGTCAGGCCTCAACTTAGGTCAATTGTCGATCCACCCTTATTCTATCAAATAAAACTATTATTTGGTTAAATTTAATTATATTTGCATATATAAAAATTTTAGGTTTTTTTACTGTTCAGTCCACCCCAGAAATCCTAGTTCCATCGTACAGTTGGGATAGGTGTCAGCTCGGAATTTATGCTAATTCACGGGCGGATATGGGTGTTATAGGTGGAGCTGTTTATAATTTTGAATTGTTGTAGGTCTGCAGTTCAAATCAAAATTCTGAAGTGGAGTACATCTAAAAATCCCCAAATTTCATTGTATCTATTGTAAACATCACTGTTGTCGTCATCAAATGCCTTGTCCCAATTACATGGAGTCGGTTATATGAATTTTATTTCGCCACTCTATTCCATTAAAACCATATCAACTATTAAATTTTAGAGCTTAAAATCATTTCTTACTACTTCTACCCATGTCCTTTTGGGTCTATTTCTTCTATATCATTCCTTATAACAAATAGCTTCTTATAATTAGAGTTATTGGTAGTATTTTACACATATGAACAAATCATTATAGCCTTTTCTTCCCCTCATTTTATCTCTTGATCTCCAATCCTAAGGCTTAGTTGGGAAGGAGTATGAATACAAATTTGTAGAGTGCAAATCCTTATATTTTATATTATTTTGTATGTATCTGTATTGTACATATTTGTATTTGTACTATTTCCAAATTAAGCATAAGTGTATATTGATTTATACTCATTTTTGTTACTAGATTTACATGTCATATACTCTATTTTGGTCTTATTTATTTTAAAACCTCTTGTTTGTAGAGCATTTGTTGATAAGCTTATATTTGTGTTTAGGCCCAATTTTGCTTTTTAGTAAGTCATTTGCTTGGGTAAATGCAATTGTCCTTGTAAGTCTAAAATGGACCATTAATTATTTGTTAGTTTCATTAATTAAAATAAGGGAAATTCCTTATTAACACCCTGTACTTTGGGTCTAATGCCGCTTTGGTTCCCGAACTTTAAAATGCGACAATTCATTACCTGAACTTTCAAAACGTGACAATCCAGTACCTGTTGTTAATTAGCTGTTAATCAGCCATTAAAGTGACATTTTAAAAATACACAAAATGCCCTTTGAGTGTCATTTAGTTTTTTTTATCAACCATCTAAATATTGACAAAAACATAAAAATCCCAAATCCTTACTTCTTTCATTCAAGAAAGTTGGGGTTACATTTGAGTGGGCATTATGGTAACCCTGACTTTATTGAATAGAATAAGCAAGGATTTGAGACTATTAATTTGTATGGTCAATATTCGCATAGTTGATAACAAAAATTAGATGACACTTGAAGGGCATTTGTATCTCTTTAAAATGTCATTTAACGACTAATTAACAACTAGTTAATGACAGATAATAAATTGTCACATTTTAAAAATTCGTATACTGAATTATTACATTTTAAAGTTCGAAAACCAAAGTAACATTAGATCCAAATTATATGATACTAATGGGGAGTTTTCCCTTAAAACAATATCATCCTTAACAAAATGCAACATAAAACTTTTTTCCGAATATGTTTAATTAATTTTATTACTAATATGTAATAAATAGTATTTTGATCCTTTTGAGTTTAATTTATTAACGCTATTTGATACTTGATTGCAATCCGATAATCCGATATAAATGTGACGAATATGTTCCGATTCCAATTTGGATATAAAAATAGTTGGATTTGCCTAATATCTGATTCAATTCGATCCGTCTGGGCCCGGGTCATGTGTGGACACAGAACCAGAACATAGGCTCCAGGCCGGATATTTGCGGGCCGGGTTAGAAATGATCACCCCTTTGATCTTTCTACTTCCTTACCGCCCAGGCCCAGCGTCTCTCTCTTTAGGGATCTGGTCGGACACGCTTTGTTCTGAGGTCACCCGTATTTCACTCAGATCTGATGTTCTACTTGAGCTAAAGCCTCAAACAGTTCAGCCCCTGCGCTGGACGCAAGAAACGCGAGAATTTTCTGCAAATGATGACAATTACGTCGGATCTCGTCTGTTTCGATCCGTATTAAGTTGAGGTTTAGCGGAAAGATCTCTTCGGTTGAGATAAACTGAGGAGAAAACGATGGAGTGGACAACGGTCCAACATTTGGATCTTCGCCACGTTGATCGAGGCGTCAAACCCTTGCAGCCTCATGCAGCAGCATTTCATCCAAATCAGGCGCTTGTAGCTGTCGCCATCGGAAACTATATAATTGGTAAACCGCTCTTTCTGTTTCCCCTGCATTTTCTCTTATTTTGTTTTGAATGACGGTTCCAGAATTGGATCCTTGATTTAGTTATCTGTTTGATTTGTATCTTAAAACCGTAGTGTCGAGGCTAAATTGTTTATTGTCATTTGGTGAGATGGTGATTGAAACGTCGAACTTCAATTTGTGAGGACGAACTTCATATTTTAATCTCCAAACCACTGATGGAATTTGGTTATCATTTTTTTTTTTGCGGGAATTATTATATCTTCCAGAACCGTGATTGCTACTGCTTCTTTTTATCAGTGGCGGCTGCCCTGGTGGCAGTGTTAGGGCAACTAAAGCGCAGGGGGTTCCTAACAAGTTAGGCTCTAATTTTGAAAAGAGTCAAGGAAAATACTTGATATATAAGGATCTGTAAATCTAAATTTCGAAAGAAAGAAAGTGTTTTAAAACACCTGTTAGCTCAATTGGTTAGAACACGAAGGTTGTAGCACTGTACGTTCAAAATTCTGTGCAGGCTAAACATCATGGGTACACCTTACAATATATTAATTTATTTATTTATATAAACTTCAAGGTTAATTCATCTAAAAATGATATGCATGTAAAGTACACCCCCAAAAATGAGCCTTTTCTTCGAGTCTAGGTGTGCCTTATAAACATGCGAGAAGTTTAGGATTGTAGGTTGCCCTAATGGCTAGAATTCATTACAAAAAATGGCGTTTGATTTAATTGAGCAGAGGGGGAGATCTAAAGAAAAAAAAAAAGAATACAGGTTTTAGAGAGCTATCTAAAATTGAAGAAAGAAGAACATAGTAGGGGTTTTCTCTCTCTCTTTTTTGTATCTCAGTTGAGAAGAGAGGGAGATTTAAAGAAAATAATGAATAGAGGTTTTAGAGAGCTATCTAAAATTGAAGAAAGAAGAATGTAGTAGGATTTTTTTTCTCTCTTTTTTCTATCAGTTAGGGCAGTAAATGTATACCATATCTATGACCCAGAATCAGATAGGATGTATTTTTCTTTTTTTGTGTTTCATTTTTTAATGTCTAAAATAGTTGTTAATCAGCAATGCTGTGGTTATTAGCCTTACCGTAGAGTTTGCCTTCTGTCTTCAGGCATACACCTTGTATGTGCAAGTAGGGCTGTAATGGGTTGGATCCAGATCCGATTCAGCTACATCCACATCCGATCTGAGTCTGATATTTTGCATTTTGGGTTGGGTTCAGATTTAATCTGACTCCTCTCTATTGGTTCACTGGGGTTAGTCAACAGAGTGAACTGGATTAACATTCAGTCGATATTTTCTCCGTGTAGTTATGTCACCATTTTCTAACGAGCCATGGATTTGTCACAAGATGCTGCATATAGGCGTTACCCGTCTAGAAGTCTTTTTTCTAATTACCGAAAACATCTAGTTTTGCTCATATAGTTATTGGTTCATTTCTTGCTTTTTGTCCATTTTATGGTATCTTATTTGCTATCTAATGTAGCCTGATCTTTGCATATTCAGAATTTGATGCGCTTACTGGTTGCAAGATCTCTTCAATTGACATTGGTGCTCCCGTTGTACGCATGTTATATAGCCCTACCAGTGGACATGTTGTAATTGCTATTCTTGAGGTTGGTCTTCTATACCTTCTTGTGTTCCTTAAAGAACTTAATAGAGCAGAAAAGTTCTCATTTGAAAACTTTGGTGTGCGTACTTATTTGATCAAATGTTTTGGTTGAAATATCAAACATTTGACTAATAATAGCTAGTTTTTGTTACAACTTAAACATGTGACAGCTACATTTTTTTTTTCTTGCTTGTTTCTCTGGATCTTTTAATTGAAACCAATAGACTAATTGGTGTTTGACTTTGAAGTTTGATCTTAGTTGAAATTACTATGATATACAATTGTTTGTTGTTTGAATCTCATGAGAAGTTCAGAATTCAGATGTTTGCCATTTGACAGTGTCTTATGGAAGATTCCTGGGACTATTTTTTTTGGGGTCTCATGTAGGAGATATGCTCAAGTAAGGGTGCAACTTGGGTTCGGTTGGGTTGGGAAGTTCTTAATTTTTTAATGGGCACTGTAGAGTTGTAGGGCAATAATGTCTTTATTTATGTTGCTGTTAGCATACTATTTGTTAGCTGTTAGCATGCTACTTGTGTCAGAAAGTTAGTTATTTCAGTTTTTTTTCTTTAGTTGCTGATAAGTTATGTTAGTAAGGGCAATATTGTAAGTTAGCTATTTTTTAAATCTTTAATATAAGTAGCTGAGTGGGGCGGCAATGTGTAAGTCAACCCACACTCTTTTCTGAATTCTTTTCTCTTTGACTTCTTTCTTCTTTCTTCTTCTCTTTTTCTCTCTCTTCTTCCTCTTCTATTCTCTGTTTTCCTTGTTGAATTCTCATCTAAAGTAGGACTGGTCACAGTCTCTACTAGACAAGTTGGTATCAGAGCCAACCTAGGGTTTCTCATGTGAGTCTAATCTGGCCGACTGCATGAGAACTTCCTAGGGTTGGAAGTTTTAACAAGATTTGTCAATCGGTTGGTTTTTGGAGACCATTGGTGGAGTGCAACAGCTTTTCAAGAGATTATAGAGCCTTGGAAAGAGTCCAGTGATAAGGAAGAATCAGAATGAGGATTGGAAGTGGCACCAGTCTTTTCTGGGTAAGTTTCAGTTCTTTTTTGAGATTGACACCAATCAGAGACTGATCAGAGTGATCTGGAAGGAGTGGGCTTTTTTTTTCTGATTTCTCCTGACCTTTTTTAGGGTTTTCCCAAACCCACAATCAGTCCTCTGTTTTTAAACCCTATTAATCTGACTGTTATCAGTTTCGGGGTAACAGTTTTTCTCCAGATTGGTTGGTAATGATTTTTTGAGGATTACTAGGTCTGTTTCTGAAATTTTGGGTGTTTGCTAGACCTATTTTCAGCATTCCAAGTTGGCTGTTAGCAGTTTTAGGGTGTTAATTACCTTTGTTTCAGCATAAAAAAACAGTTCTTTGTGATAAATTCTTGGTAGAGATGGTAGGAACTGAGTTAAAAAAAGCTCAAGGGGAAGGTGTTTTGGGGGCTGGAAACATGACTGAAAATTCATTTATCAACAAAAAAACATGACTGAAAATACCCTTCAGATTACCACAGTGAAATTTGATGGATCAAATTACTTGGAGTGGGCCCAATCATCTATGGTGGCTATTGGAGGTAGAGGGACATTAGGCTATATGATGGGAGATGTAAAGAAACCAGCCAAGGAAGACCCATTATATGCCCAATGGGTTCGGGAGAACTATTTGGTCATGACTTGGCTGTGCAATTCCATGCAGCCTCATATCAGCCGAAATTACTTGTGGGCCAAAACTGCCAAGGAAATTTGGGACATCATGAGAGAAACATATTCTCAGCCACTTAATGTTGCTAGGGCCTATGAACCGAAATGTGAAGTTAATAATCTTAAGCAGGGAAAGAAACCAGTCTCAGTTTACTTCTCTACTTTGAAGTCATTGTGGCATGAAATTGATCACCTAAAGACAATTGAGTGGAAAAGTCAGAAGGATGCATAGGCATACAGAAAACAGGTTTGAAACCAATAGAGTTTTTGAATTCCTAGCTGGTCTGAATCCAGAATATGACATTGTGAGAACAACTTCTCACCATGGAGAATGTGACCTTGTCTTAGGCCTATTCCTTAGTGCACAGTGAAGAAAGTAGGAGAAAGGTTATGCTACAGTATCAGCCCATGGAATCAGCCCTAGAAACAGTGAAACCGAAGTTTGGGGGTGACAAGGAAAGGGATATGTTGGAAGAAAGAGGACAAGAGGGAGTTAGTTTGTGATCATTGCAAGAAACCAGCATACCAAGGACACATGTTGGAAGCTGTATCATCATTTAATTCCAGCAAAGCTCAGAAATAAAAAGGGGAATGCTTATCTGCATTGCTTTATTTGGCTTGCATATGCCTGATTACAAGGTACTGATTAATCATGTGGTACACCATTCAAAAGGTAGTTGCAGGGAACAAAAAGAAAAAAAAATTGAAGGAAAAACAGAAGCTGCTTATTACATATTACAAGATTATGTCAAGTCATTCCGGTCACATTTATTTTCATGGTGTTTGGTTCGGTGGCCGTTTATTTGAAAAACGGTGCCAGCTCATTGCCATGTAGGCATTTATTGCAAAATGCTATTTGGTGAGAATAAACGTTTTCTTGGTTTGTGTGAGAGTCAGCCGTTGGGGGAAACACCATTTTTAATGTTTCCCCAACATCCATCCATTTATTTACTGTTCAGCTTATGTGGCACCTAATGGTGCCTAGTTGTCAATCAACACCTAATAAACTTTTATCAACCATTTTCTCATTTTTTTAAGATAAATACAGTACAAAACCTTTATTAAATAAATGTCCACAGTACTAAACAGAGCCCTTGTTTTCTACTGCCCCTCCAAGGGTGTTGTTTTTCATTGGGAATTGGCCTGCAAAAAGATTAAATTCCTACGGTGTATTCCATACAAGAAGGYTTCAATACAAGTAGTTATCTCCAATCACATGACTTTGTGTGTTTTAACAGGTGGAGAGCCCATATCCTGTCTACCCCTCTTAAGACCCCGAATAGCTGGGACCATTATTGGGTAATGGCCCTTTTTTAGATGGGGAGTCCATTGACCATCTTTATCTCCAATTTTTGTATTCTCAGCACCTATGGAAATTTTCCTTGATTTAATCGACTTAAATTAATCCTCAAGATGATGAAGTTGTTATATAAGACCAACTTCTAAGAAAAGCGACGCCAAACTTGTTGAGGTAGAGTGTTAATGGCATGTAAAAAGGGCAATCATGTCTTCATCAAGTAGTTACTGGAGGGTACTATGGTCATTTCATTTATTTTTAAGTTGTTTTCCATGCTATGTTACCCAGATACAGTATCAGATATGAAATTTACACTAGAAATTCTAGTATCTGGCACAGTACATACGACACCCTTGTACAGGTATCTAGGTATCATAGATTCCATGTAACCATACAGATAGTGGGAGTTGAGTGGGATTGAATGAATTTTATTCCCACATTCTCATCTATATTCTATATTCTTTAATGAAATTTGAAGTTATTGATAAAATAAAACTCATCTATATTCCTTCTACTTCTCTTTCTCTTCCATTTTCTCTTCTTTTCTATCCTTATTATTTGCTGCGGGTCAGATCCCTCAAGTACATGATATCAGAGCAACACATCTGTTCTAACTGGTCCTACTCTATCTTTCTGCATGCTCTGTCAAGGCTTGGTTGGATTGGATTCTATAGGGGTCGATAAAGTTAAGGTCTGGTTCTGATCAAACCCTATATCCAGTTGTTTTCTGTTTTTTTTTCTTGTGATTGTGGTGTACTGCTGCCATGGCGTAGGCCCTATAGTTGAATGCATTCAATGGGGATTTGATTTGTGTGGTGAGAAGACTGTATGGGCAGATTCTTTAGTCTACAACAAAGAGATAAGGGTATTGAAAAGTATTTCTCAGAGTTGAAGGCATTATGTGAAGAATTGAATATGTACCAGTACCAGCCCATTTTATCTGATGTGAGGATAATGACAAAGGAGCATGGTGATTTTTATCTGGAAAAATTCCTATTTGGTCTGCTGATAAAAAAAGAAAAAAAATCCTATTTGGTCTCAAGGTTGAATGTGAACTTGTTAGAGCAAATATTTTGGGAAGTCTAGAGCTGCCTTACCTTCCAGATGTCTTCTCCAGACTTCAGAGAGCTTCTTTGTCTGGACCTGGTAATACCATTATGCATTCTGTTCATCATTTTCAGTGATAAAAGGAGATGGATGCTGGTTGTGGGGTTGTTCATGGAGGCAAAGGAAATTTCTGTGGTGGACATAGTGGTGAAATGTCTAGAGGACGTAGTTGTGGGAGGAATGCTCAATATTACACATTGTGGGAGAGAGGTCAAACAATTAGTTGTTGTGATTTACATGTTTGAATATGTTCTTATTTGTGGCAAGGAAGGGCACACTTGGAGCTTTGTTGTATTACCCAATGGCAAATCAGGTGGTGGATTTGCTAAATCATGCTATCTATTGTTCCTCTTAATAAAAGTTTCTGTTATCGATAAAAAAAATCATGCTATCTATTGGGCGATAATGCTGTTGGTCTGATATCCCAATAACAATCTGCTTAAGCAAAACCATACTTTTCTCTTGTTCTATATGGGCCTTTAGGTGTCTATCATCATCATCATCCATGCCTTATCCCAACTATATGGGGTTGGCTACATGTATCCTATTTCACCAATTCGTTCTATGCATGCACCCAAACCATCTTAGTCTACTTTCTCTGATTTGATCACCTATTGGAGCTACTCCTAGGTTCCTATTGGATAACTTCATTCCTAACCCTATCCTTTCTAGTTTTCCCACTCATCCATCTTAGCCTTCGTATTTCTGCCACATTCATTTTCTGGACATGTTGTTTCTTGACTTCCCAACATTCTCTGCTATAGATGTAGAATTGAATTGAGTATGTATATATTATTTGAACTTGTGATTGTTTGTTTTTGTCTGTTACTACTTACTAAATTCTCTTTATGTTATAGGATTGTACAATCAGATCTTGTGACTTCGACACTGAGCAAACTTGTGTGTTACATTCACCTGAAAAGAGGATGGAACAAATTTCTTCTGACACGGAGGTCCATCTTGCATTGACACCTCTCCAACCAGTTGTATTTTTTGGTTTCCACAAACGGATGAGTGTAACAGGTTCTTATCTGGTTATTTCATTAGTTTCCATTTTTTTTGTGATTGATTACCCCTAGTGGTCGCTTCTAAATCTTGAACTGGTTGGACTGCATGAAGTTGTTGGAACTGTTGAAGGTGGAAGGGTACCAACAAAAATAAAGACAGATCTGAAAAAGCCTGTTGTCAATCTTGCTTGTCATCCTCGCTTACCTGTCCTGGTAAAAACACATTATTTTCATCCACTGAGAATTGAATGAGGACATCTATTGTTTAAAATGTTTTATCTTTTCCTGAGGGAGGCTCAATAAGATTTTTTTTGTCGGTTTCAGTATGTAGCATATGCTGAGGGTTTGATTCGAGCTTACAACATTCATACTTATGCTGTTCTTCATACACTACAACGTAAGATGGGGCCAATAAATTTCTGTAGATTAATTTATTGTCATTTTTGATTGGTAATGGATCATATTTTTTTGAAAAGGTGTATGATTTGTATTATAGGAGGAAGTGGATCCCTCGAATCAAAAGCTTTATAAAACAGCAGGGATAATCACTTAAACGTGGCCACTATATATAATCATTTATGTAAAAGTGGATATCTATTATATCACAAATTCCATCACCAATGAACTTCTGCCAATGATTACAAAAGCTCTGATAAGCGAACCCTACAAAGTCCTTATAGGATTTAGCCCAAAAAGTTATCAACTGTTCCATATTACCAATGAGCACTTCTCTAGGGGATTTTTTCCCTTTACAGATTCTGCTATTCGATTCCTGCCATATCACCCAACAGATGGCATAAGGGATCAACTTCCGTAAAATGACTCACCTTCTACTGAAGTCACTGGAGGGCCATGGTGTGATGAGTGTACTAATATCTTTTGGTAGTGCACAATGTTTGCCAAAAATCTGTAGAAAATGTACCCAACTACTGTAGCTGATACTACAGTGAATCAGTGCGTGTGAAACTGATTCTTCTTCCTGTCCTCAGAGATTGCATAGGTTGTCCACCGCCATTCCTTTTGACAGCAAGTGGTTAGTGGTAAGAATTCCATCCATAATCACAGTCCATGGAAAGAACACCACTTTAGGTGGTACCTTAGTTTTCCATATCCAGCACCATGCTACTTTTTTTTTTTTTTGATAAATGAGTGATATTTTATTCAAAGGAAACACTGTGATGTTACAATACAGACTGCCCGAGGAGAGGCACGGGCTGGTACCTCTCCTCAACAACAACAGTGTACTACATCAGACTCAGAAGTGAAAGTTTACAGAGCTGCCCAGAATAAATGTTCCCTTGATACCCCTTGCTTAGCTAACCCATCCGCTATGGTATTAGCTGTTCTACCCACCCATTGAGAATTAACAGTCATGTTCCTTGAAAACCAATTAACTTTCCTCATAATGTCCCTGTAGCACCAAATAACTGAATCTGGATTTTTTAACCAATCCACAACAACTTTGGAGTCTCCTTCAATAAGCAAATTCTGAACTCCCAACTGATCTGCAATCTGAATACCTTGTACCGCCGCTAGAAGCTCAGCTCTAATAGAGTCTCCTATACCCATGGAGCCTGAGAATAAAGCTAAGATATTGCTGTCTTTATCTCTCAGCACCCCTCCTATCTCTGAAGGACCTGGATTTCCTTGGCTGCTACCAGCACCATGCTACTTTCATGCCTCTTGGCTCTATTAATTTGTTAAAGAACAGAAAATTCCCCTGACTGTTCTGCATTCCACCATAATTGATTTTCAGAAATTGGATGAAGATGAAACCTGTTAACTGTTTATCTATAAAAAAAACTGTTAACTGTTTCCAGCAACGATATCGGTTCTTGAATCTTCCAGTCCTGCAAGTTTCTTCTCAGTTTTGGGGTCCAAACTACTTGATCAGTGTGAATCTGATGGCAATCGTTATTAGGCTGTTTTCATGCATTGCCATGCTAAACATCTACTTGTGAGATTCACTCAAAGTCAAAGGTTCTTAATCACAGAATACATCCTTCCAGAATAGTATTCATTCTCCATTGTCAGATTTAAACTTGAAAAATCTTAAAAATTCATCCTTGACACTGATACAGCAACATCCCTACACACCTCCAATGGAGGAAAGGAGGAAATAAAAATCTCACGACCCAAATTTTGTACCAGATCCTGCAGCATACCCAGGAAGGGCAGACCTTCAATAGAACTTGACCTGATTAGATCCTTCCACTAGGGGCCATTGCTTGATGAAACGATAAAATATTGGGCTGAGTTGGTGGGCAAGCATGAAAATTTGTGATCTAGTCTGAGTGGCCACTTTGTGCAAAAATGCAGGAGGTTAGGTCCATATCCAGTCCACTCCTCCTGAAATCCTGGATAGCTGGGACAAACATTGGGTAATGCCCTTTTTAGCTCCTTCCTATGATTCCTCCTATGATGCCACATGTCTGTATACCCGAATTGGACACAGTATATAATTGATATGACAGTAAAGCACACATCATCATCAAAGCCTTGTCCAATCTATATAGGGTCGGCTACACGAATCCTGTTTCACCAGTCTGTTCTGTTTAGTACCATATCCATTGTTAAATTGTGGGCACTAAAATCATTTGTTATTGCTTCCATCCAAGTCCTTTTTGGTTTGCTCCTATCTATTCTAGCCCCTTCAACTTGTAACAAATCACTCTTTCTAGCAGATGCTGCAGATGATCTTCTATGCACGTGGCCAAACCCTCTCAATCTACTTACCTCATATTATCACCTATTGGAGCTACTCCTAGGTTCCTTCATATTAGTGCTATAATCGAGTTGAGTTGAGTTGAGTATTGGGCTACTTGAGCTTGACTCAAAAACTCAAAGCTTGAAACTTGACTTGAGCTTGACCGAGTTTCAAGTTTCCCTACTCGAACTCCACTTGAGTTGATTATGAATAAAATAAATTAATAATATTTGAAATGAAATATATTATGAAACTTGATTATAAATTTGTTTATTTGCATTATAAATATATTAATATAAAAGATTAATATTTATTTATATTATAAATGAAAATATATTAAAGATCATTAATAAAAAAAAATATATTAAAAAACAATATTTTATTATAAGCTTGATTAGGCTTGTAAGCCACTCGAGCTAGGTATGCGAAGCTCTGACTCAACTCGAACTTGATTTTCTTCAAGTCATGTTTGAGTGTTTAGTGAGTTGAGCTTGACAAGCTCATAAGTACCTTGGCTCACATACACCCCTACTTCATATGATTTTATTTCTAACCTCATTCTTCCTTACCACTCATCTATCTAAGCATTTGCACATGCATGTTTCTGCCACACTCTTTTTTTTGGATCAATTTTCCACACTCATTTTTTGGACATGCTTTTTCTTAACTGCCCAACACTACATAGCTGGCCTTACATCTTGCTCTAATTTTATGGGCAACATCCTCCTCAATCTCTCATTTGTTATGAATTATTGAGTCAAGGTAAAGGAAGAGGTTTTATTGAGTTATACCTTGGTCTACAATCCTAAGTTTACCCTGGTTTGCACTCCTATTACTATTAAACTCACATTGCATTTCCTTTTCTTTTTTTGATCAGTAAAAAGAATAAGCTTTCATTGATTGAGAAAACAGAATCACATTGCATTTCCATTTTAGTGCTACTTATTTTAAAACCTCTTATTTCTAATGCAGATATGATAGCATAATACAAAGTTAGGTTTGATGCAGATATGACAATATAGCACCGACACTTCTAAATATGTAAAATGGTATCGTCATCATGATCATCATCATCATCTAAGCCTTGTTCCAACCATATGGGGTTGTCTACATGAATCCTGTTTAAATATGTAAAATTGTATGTTTTGACAAATAATATTAAAGTGGTGCGTATTCTCATGCTCTAACCATGCAATCACCACTTGAAAACATCTTTCAACATCTATACTAGAGTGGCTTAACAAAAAGCTCAAATGTTGCTGGGAATTACATACAGGTGGAAGCCATGATCAGCCAATGGTTTGGCTGATACACTTGCAAGACAAGGACGGGTAAGGAGCAACTATATTGGGGAATGATAAAGGAAAGGAAGGGTGGGGAGCAGGTGCTGGCCAATGATAGGAGAGCATTGGCTTGTCTTACTTGTACAGTGTTTTTTTATATCATAATTAACAAATTTGACTCTTAATATAAAAAGAGAAGTGATAGAAGATTGGATTGAATGAAGTCTCCATTTCCTACTGATTCTGAATAGACCATTATTTTGTTATTGTTTAAAGGTTGGCCAGTTTTATGTAGTTTTTTCTAATACAAGATATTCATTTTTATTTCCTTTAATGCAGTTGATAATACAATTAAGCTTATTGGTGCTGGTGCTTTTGCTTTTCATCCAACCTTGGAGTGGATATTTGTTGGTGATAGACGGGGTACACTTCTGGCATGGGATGTATCGACTGAGAGGCCAAGCATGATTGGAATGTGAGTCGCCTATGATTAGCTTAAATGACTGTATTTTCTACTTCTTTTTGAGGCTGATATGAGTAAAGAAAAAAAATTATCTTCAGTTGTCCTTGTTATCATTCTTTGCTTGTTAGATATAGTACTCTTGTGTGTGCAAAGGTGGTGCCGTGGCTTCTCTTGAGGTGCCACTGTATAACCCTTGCAAACATTTTGGGAGGCCACTATTAGAATGGTGGCCCACCTCCTACTACCCCCAACTTTTACAAAGGTGCTTCAAAGTTCTATGAAGGGCCATATCCCCATTGGCTCCACTGGCTCTGCTTGTCTGTGCGTGTCTGTACTCTGTGGATGCGTCATCAGTTTTGGTCTAGAGGGAATGTGGAAGCTTCTAGGGAAAAAAACTGTCATATGTCAAACAAAAGTTCATTCAGAGCAAAGCTTCAAAAATGGTATGAAAATTGTTAGTGCTGTCTAATCATGCTGAGTTGGCATATGGAATGCCCTAGATTGGTCCAACAAATGGTTAAAACAAATTTCTGAACATGTGACTTACGTTGACCATTGGGAACCATAGTGTCATCTAGAGGCTGTATGGCCCTAGAAGTCTAGAACAAGGAGATATTACTTTGAGATAATGTACCTTTTGTCTACTTCTGATTCCTCAAGTCCAACAAGATGTGTCGTGACCAGGATTTTAAGATTGTGTGCTTGGGTTAGATGGCTGGTGCTGTTCACAGTCAGCCAGTATTCTGGTGCAGTTTCAGCAAGAAAACCAAGAAAAAATAAAGAGAAAACCAGAAGAAAGAAGAGAGGAAGGGAAGATAAGAGAAAAATGAGAAGAAAAAGGGAGCCAATCTAATCTGTTTCTGTTGCCCAGATTTATTATTTTATATGTATCTATCATAAAAGAGCTACACTGATATCTGCGCCCCTGCTGCTCAAACCACTACTTAACAAACAATAACAGCAGCTGAAAAAGGCCTAGAAAGACTAATAACAAGTAAATACAAAAAATAGTAATTAATATGGCAGGGACCACACTAATTTACTGAATTGTTGCTCCACACTCCCCCTCAAGTTGGGAATGGATATTGGTCATTCTCAACTTGCATAAATCTGTCTTGTAATTGCTTTGGTGAAGAGATCAGCAAGTTGCATATTGAAAGCAACATAAGGAAGGCAAATTTCTTGGGGTGCAACTCTTTCTCTAATAAAGCGTCGATCCACCTCAATATATTTGGTTCTATCGTGCTGTATTGGATTATGAGCAATATTAATAGTGGCCTGGTTATTACAATACAACATTAGTGGCCTTTTATATTCAACCTCTAACTCCTCAAGTAGTGATCTTAGTCATAACACTTCAGCCACCCTATTAGCTATAGATCTGTACTCTGCTTCAGCACTGGAGTGAGCAACAACATTTTGTTTCTTACTTCTCCAAGAAATAAGATTGCCCCCAACAAGGCACAGTACCCTGAGGTAGATCTCCTATCATCCACACATCCAACCCAATTTGCATAAGTGTACGCTTCTATCTTCATATGACCATTATTCTTGAAGAGTATACCTCTTCCTGGACACCTCTTTACTTCTCCAAGAAACAAGATTGCATATATTGATTGACAACACTAACAACATAACAAGTATTTGGGTGCGTTAGGTAGAGGTAGAGAAACTTTCTAACCAGCTGTTGAGGCATTGGTACATGGCTTTATCTTCAAGTGGTTCACCTCCTTCTACATTTATCTTATGGTTTGGCTCAATTGGTGTGTCTGCTAGTTTAACTCCCAATTTTCTAGTTTCTTCTAGAGATCAAGGGCATATTTCCTTTGGGATATGAAGATACCATGCTTTTTTTTTTGATCAATAACTCAGGAAATCAATTTCATTAGAATTAGAAAATTAGTACAACTAGAAGTTGTGAAGGAAACAAAGAGGACACCAGATGTCCAAACCCCAAAAAATTACATATATGCCCAAAACATTGATTGTTTAGGCTCCTTAGCCTTCTCAAGCCCAAAAGCAACAACTAAGAATTCTGTGGAAGCCACATCACTATACCTAGCTGGACCCGAGAATAGGGCACAAGTATTGCTTTCATCATCCCTGATAGCTCCTCCAATACCTACAAGGACTGGATTGCCCACATTGCTCCCATCAAAGTTCAATTCGAACCAACCACGGGTTGGAGACCCGATCACTGATACAACTTGTCTTCTAGAAGATGAATAAGCCCCCAAGCTTTGAAAAAGTCATCAATCTGAAAATCTGAGAACAAGCTCAAGGTCTTAAACCCAATGAGTCACTTGAAGGGTTATGGCCTTCAATTAGTGCTTCCTAGTTCTTTCCTTTTCCCTCGGAAATTCTAGAGTTTCTTTCCTCCTAGACTGTCCATACAATTGCTGCCCTCGTACATTTCCACATCAATCTACCTCTTTTAGTAGTGCACCTGCAAACAGAGGGGGAAAACAACCTTTCCAAGCTAACAGGAGAAAGCCACCTACAACGAAAAAGTGAGGCAAACCACTCCCATATAAAGCCAACAAAAGGACAGGAGATTAAAGGGTGAAAAACAGTCTCACCATTAACCTTGCACAAGCTGCACCAGTTGGGGGACAAGCTCCAGTTTGGCCTTTTTCTTTGAAGCCTATTACAAGTATTAATACAACCATGAAACCACCTCCCAACAGAAGGCACTCACTCTAGGGGGAATGGGAGGACACCAAATTTCCTTCACAGGGAAAGATGGGGAAGGGGAGGGAGAAGAAGCAACAAGGGAGTTGAAAAAGGATTTGCAAGTGAATCCCTCGGTCGAGTTAAGGTTCTAAACCCTACTGTCCACACTCCATCCCCAAGAACCACAAAGTTCAACAAGGAGAGTAGACCAAAAGCAAGGGGAACTTCAGACTCTCTTAGATTCCTAAAAAAACCCAAGTTTCAGTTTAGATCAGAAGGAGATGGAGGGGAACAAAAGAAGTCAGCCACCGGCTTGCCTTTAAAGATGGAAATATCATCAAGAGAAGACTTCCAATAAAGGGGTTTCCCCAACCCAGACATCCTCCCAAAACCTAATATTTTGACCCGAGACCAAGTCATACCTGATGTGATTGAGGAAGGCAAGAAGATAATTATGGATGGCTTTCCATGGAGAAGCCAAGGAAGCTCTATGAAGACAATCAGCATCCTGTCCGTTGTTTGACAGCCCATGAATGCTTGCTATCACTTTGTGCCAAAGTCTATCACTCTCCCTCGGAAGCCTCTAGAGCCATTTGCTCAATAAGTCCCAATTTTCTAATCTAATATTCCCAACCCCCAACCCCCAACCCTCTGCCTTTGACTTTGACACCTTTTCCTACCTAATTAAGTGATCTTTCTTTCCTTCCCCGGGTTCCCACAAAAAATCCCTCATGATCTTTTCCAACTTTCTTACAATAACCCGTGGTATCCTAAAGCCAACATAAAATAGATAGGAAGGTTYGCTAAAGTAGACTTGATCAGAGTTATCCTCCCTGCTAACGATATATAATTCCTCTTCCAGCTAGCAAGCTTCTTTTCAAATCTTTCCACCAATGGGTTCCAAAAACTAAGATTTGGGGATTGTCACCAAGAGGGAGCCCTAAGTACTTGATTGGTCAATTGCCTTTCTTACAGCCTAAAAAACTTTCCATCTCCCCCAACAAATCTTCATACACATTAACTGCAGCTAAAACACTTTTATTCCAATTAATCCTTAGATTGGAGACCCTCTCAAAGAGATTCACTACCAGCTTCAAGTTTACAACTCCAGTTCTGTTGTCCCCCTCACAGAAGGCTAGAATATCATCTGCAAATTGTAGGCGAGTTACCTGAATCCTACCCCTTCCAATTGATCAGCCCTTAAAGAGCTGCATGTTATTAGCTCTTATGATCAACTTGCTAATCACCTCGACTACCAGGGTGAAAAGGAAGGGAGACAATGGATCACCTTGTCTGAGGCCTCTACATCCTTTAAAGAAATCCACTACTGACCCATTGACAAATTGAATAATGAGTAGACTGCAAACACCTTTTGATCTATTTGCACCAAAGCTCTCCAAACTCACAGCTTCTCATGATCTTGATTAAAGACTCCCAGTCCTCGAGATCATAAGCTTTTTCCACATCTAATTTCACTGCCACTCCTTTCTTCCTTATTCTTTTATGGGCCTTAACACACTCATTGGCAATTAGGATCTGATCTGCGATTTTGCCTATCTTGAACAAAAGCCCCTTGAAACTGAAAAATGAGTGAGGGAAGAACCTTCTTGACTCTAAGGGACAAAACCTTAGCAATTATCTTATATATGCTCGTGACCAGGTTGATTGGACGAAAATCCTTGGGATGGGCAACACCAACTTTCTTGGGAACCAAAGCCATAAAAGTTGAGTTCATTACCGGGCTAATGTTGCCCCTCCTATGGAATTCCTTGAAAACTATGATAAAATCATCTTTGATTATCTCCCAACAATCTTGGTAGAAAGCCATTGTAAAGCCATCGGGCCCTGGAGCTTTAGATCTGTCCATTGAAAAAATTGCTTCCTTGATTTCTTCCTCTTCAAACATTTTCTCTAGGATCTCTACTTGACCATTCCTTAGAATCTCCCAATCAAGACCTTCAATTGACTAACTCTCATTAAGTGGTCTACGAAAGATTGACCTAACATGATTTGCAAAGGTCCCGACTATCTCAGTGTGATCAGTAATCTTAGTCTCCCCCAAGATTAAGGAAGCAATTAGGCTTTTCCTCCTGCCATTTTTATGGCATGAAAAAATCTCGTATTATCATCACCTTCTGTGATCCATTTCTCCTTGGACTTCTGTTTCCAACAAATTTCCCCTCTGAGAAGAGTAACGTCTAGTTCCTTCTTCATAGACCACCGCAAATCTCTATCACTATCTGATAGGGGCCCCTCAATCTCCTTTTTATCATTCCCCTCAATTTGAGAAAACAAACTAGCTTTCTTTTCCTCTAGTCTCCCAAAGGTCAATTTGTTCCACTCTTTTATTCTTTCTTTGAGCAGCTGCAAATTTTTAAGAACTTTTGGCCTTCCCAAATAGGTGGCTGAATTGGAATATCCTACCACTCCTTAACTTTGGCTTTGAACTCTGGATGGGTAATTCACATTTTTTCAACCTAAAGGGGGATGAGCCTCCACCAAATCTCTTCTGAAACAAGCAAACCGGCCAATGATCTGAGGTAACTCTAGGCAATGTTCTTCCCTACAAATTTGTCCATGCTTAGCTTTGGCCACTTCAATTCCTAGAAAATATCTCAAATCCCCATATCATTTACCTTAAACTCCTTACTAAGTAACTTCTTGAGAGAATTAATCTCATTATTGTTACTGCCTGTCAACACAATATCATCAACATAGGAGAGTTAAATCTGAACCTGTTCTCTTGAAAAAGAGAGTGTGATCAGATTGGGCTTGTACGTAGCCAAATTTCTCCAAGGTATGTCTAAACCTATAAAACCATGCCCTTGGAGACTGTTTCAAACCATACAAGGTCTAAACCTATAGAAGCCTAGGGGCAACTCTATATATACTTCTTCTTGTAGATTACCATTTAGGAAAGCATTTTTAACATCCATCTAGAACAACGACCATGAAAAGTTTGCAGCAAGAGACAACAACACTTTGATTGTATTCATTTTGGAAACTAGTGCAAAGGTTTCTACATAATCCATAAGTCTGTGTGTATCCCTTAGCAACCATTCGGGCTTTGTATCTTTTAATTTGAGCTATCTACATTGTACTTCATTGTAAATATCCACCTGCGCCCAATCGGTTTCTTCCCTCTTGGTTGATCTACTAGCTCCCAAGTATCATTTTTGATCAGTGCATCCATCTCAACTTTCATTGCTTCCTGCCACTCAATTATTGTTAGGTCTTCCTGTACAGTTTTGGGAATGGGTACAACAACAATGGACACCAAAAAGGATTTATATGATGGTGAGAGATAGTCATAAGAAAGAAACTGAGAGATGGAATGGGTAGCAGATGAGGTGCAACAAGACTAGAAGTGGCCTGAATCTGGCGGTGGTAGGCATATCATCTGCAGTTGCTGTGGGTATAGAGGGTGAAATACCTGAATCTGGTGCTGTAGAGGAGACTAGAAGTGGCCTGGACTACTCATTACTGGAACCAACCTGCCTCCACCATCATTTGTGAAACACTCTCAACTCCCTACACTTTTGACAACCCCCCCTCACTACACTCCCCTTCATTGACAGGAAAAGGCTATGGAACTTCCTGAGCAAAAACACCCTGCTCACCTCTCTCCCCCTGAGATGAAATACTGGAGTAATAAGTGACATCGTCAAAGAAGGCTCCAACTTCACACTCTAATTGAGTTAAGGCAGCTCTGACTACAGCTAATGCATCTAAGGATGTGGATTTTGTAGTAGAGGAAGATGCACAATCAGTAGTAACTGCTGCATTGGCATTCCCCTTCTTATTCTTGAATCTTGCTGGAATAAGACGAGGATACAACTTCCAACAAGTGTCTTTAGTGTGCTTTGGCTTCCTACAAAAATCGCACATCATCTCCCTCTTGTCTTCCGGCTTCCCTTTTCATTACCCTCTCCTCACCAACAGGCTTTGATTTCACTGCTGCCAAGTCTTATTCCATGGGTGGGATCTCTTACATGACTTTCCTTCTACTCTCTTCATTGTATATTAGTGAATAGGCCTGAGACAAAGTGGCACTGTCCCTAGTGAGTAATTGTTGCCTTACAATATCATAATCTGAATTCAGTCTAGCAAGAAATTCAAACACCCTGTTTGTTTCAACCAACTTCCTATATGTTGTTGCATCCTTTTGGCTTTCCCATTTAATTGTCTCCAAGTGATCAATCTCATGCCTCAGAGATTTCAAGGTAGATAAGTAAACCGACACAGATTTCTCCCCCTGTTTAAGGTTATTCACTTCACTTTTCAGCTCATATGTCCTAGCAACATTCAAGGGTTGTGAGTATGCTTCCTTCATATTCTCCTAGATTTCCTTAGCAATCTTCACCCATAAGTAATTTTTACTAATGTGTGGCTGCATAGACTTGCGCAACAAAGTCATAACTAGATAGTTTCCTAAACCCATTTAATATAAGTTGGGTCTTCCTTTGCTGGTTGATTACTGTCTCCAGTTACATATCCAAGCTTCCCCCTTCCCCCAACAGCCATCATAGCCGATTGGGCCCATTCCAGGTAATTTGTGCCATCAAATTTAACAGTAGTAATTTGAAAGGTGTTATCTGACATGCTCATTGATCCTTCTCCAAAGGATTTCGGTTCCTTGCCAACTGTCGCCATACTAATCACTCCACCAAGATCTCACAGATACTTAAGAAGGTGACTGAAACAGAGCATGTGCAGCAATCCAATACAAACTACAAGTCTGAAATACTCCCTTAACAGCCTAGTAGAGAAATAAAAAATAGTAGAAGTAATTGGGATAAGCCAAAGCCCTAGAACTGACCTGTTCTCAGTAGAAAACCTAGACCAGCCTAGAGAAAGCAAAAAAAGACTCAGCTGCTCCTTCCAGAAGAGCCCAATCATTTCCTACAAGCTGTCAATCTCAGAAAAGAACTATTTCTACTCAGAAACCACCGAGTGCCAGTACCAATTGGAGGTTTAGCCCCTAAACCTTAATCTGATCCATACCTATAAAAAAACCATTAATCTGATCCAAAGACCTCTGACTCTTCCTGGTTATTGGTGATCTCCAAGATTGCAGATCTTGAGCAGCAAAAAATTCTCCAACAAGCCTCCAAGAATCAGGCAAAACAGACTGAAATATCCATCCCTAGTATATCCTCATGTAGCCTGCTGGAACAAGCCTACATGGGAACCCTAGCAGGCCCTAAACCTTGYTCTGATACCAAGATGGCTGGTGCTGTTCACAGTTGGCCAGTATTCTGGTAAAGTTTCAGCAAGAAAACCAAGAAAAAATAAAGAGAAAACCAGAAGAAAGAAGAGAGGAAGAGAAGAGAAGATAAGAAGAGTGAGAAGAGAAAGGGAGCAGATAATCTGTTTCTGCCACCCAGATTTCTTATTTATATGTTTCTATCATAAAAGAACTACAATGACATCAATGCCACTGCCACCCAAATCACTACTTAACAGACAATAACAGAAGCTAAAAGGGGCCCAGAAAAACTAATAACAAGGCCCAATGCAGACTAATAACAAGTAAATAAAAAAATAGTAACTGATATGGCAGGGACCACACTAATTTATTGAACTGTTTCTCCACAGAAATTTTAAATGCTGTTGATTTTGAACTTTTAATTATATTGGGAAATGCTTGAGATGCTTTAGTAGTGGATTTTGTCTGGAGCTGGATTGTTGTCTGAGAAATGGTCTCTGTAGGAACCTCTCCCTCCCTTTTAATACAAATACCATTTATGTAAAAACGGAGATTTGATCAACCTTGAGGCTTCCATATATCATGTGCCCTTGGAGTTTGTGGTATTTTGTGTAACTGTATGCTTATTATATGTGATGAATATGGGGTATAAATATGGCCATTATGATGGTCTAGGTGAGTGTATGAAGTAATCCTGTTTGGAGGAATTATTGGTTTTGGTTTCTTAAAGGGTTCAGAGCGTATGTGTACTCTTTTCCAAGTTCTTAATCTTCTGAAATTTACATTATGGCCAAGGGACAATCTTCTAATCCCTTCTTTAATCATTTTATGTGTTTCCTTTGCTTTGTTACGCTTTTCTCTGTTTGTGTTCTTTTAGTTGACATTTTTACTGTATATTCAGTACACAGGTGGGCTCCCAGCCAATCACCTCAGTTGCATGGCTTCCTATGCTCCAGTTGCTTGTCACTCTTTCCAAGGATGGAGCTCTTCAAGTGTGGAAAACACGAGTTATAGTTAATCCAAATAGGCCTCCTATGCAAGCAAATTTTTTTGAGCCTGCTGGTTAGCTTCTTCTTCCTGCCAAATATAGTCAGCCTCTTTTGTTTTTATTCTTCAGAAGGAAATGATGATTTTGACATGGTGGTTGTGCTGATTGTTTTCTGACTGTTAGTGGCTTTATTTTTTTTACTTGCTTCTTGTTATTAGTAGATTTGATCTGGCCTTATTTGTATTCTAGGCTCGTTTTCCGTCTTGTGCTTTCTTTCATTTTTTGTATATTGATTTCTTCTTTTCATGTTTGTTCTGTCTTTTCCCTTTTTTGGTGTTTTTCAATTTTGATTTGATGATGTCCTAGTTATGGTCAGCAACATGTTTGGTCCAAGATGCTGAATCTCACTTAGATCAGTTGTTTTGATGGAATGTAGATTAATGCTATCCAACCTTTTTGATGCCCTCAGAGGCATTTACATACTCTCAGTTCAGATGTGAGTGATCCTAGGTTAGAATGATATAAGCGTTTCTTTTTTCCATCCTGGTGTCATGGTCAACTGTTTCCCAAAGTCTTGTCACGTGTGGGTTGTGCTAACTCTCTTTCTAGCCCGAGCCCTGATGAAGCCTCCTTTTTGGCACTTCCCTAAAGCCCTTCAAGTGTACAAGTGAAAGAGAAAGCAATCAGGTTAGAGAGAAGCTAAAACCACAATGTGCTACAGCTATCAAATCCAACAAAACGAAGCCTATCATCAGAATACAAGTCCAATATGAACCAGAAAGCAGGAGCAAAAACCAATTGATGGGCAGACACAAGGTAAAATCCTCCCATTATCTTGATGCTTCCCCTCAAATATCATTTTAATGCAGAAAAAGGGATGCAAAGGGGAAGGACAATGTGGAGAGGACTAAGGGTTGTAGTATGTTGGACTCTTTGGGAAGAAAGAAACTCCAGGATTTTCTCAGAAGCTCAGAGGAGTAGCAGATCTGAGGGCTATCATACATATTAGGGCGGTACAGTGGCTGAAATCTTTGGAGCTTTTCACAGATTACACTGTGGATGGCATGTTGAGGAAGTGGGGAGAAATTACAATTTGCACACAGACCAAATCAGTAATGAGTGTGGCTTGGACCCCTCCACCTGGTGGATTCCTGAAATTAAACTTTGATGGGTGTAGTAGGGGAAATCCGGGACAGTCGGGGATTGAGGTGTTTTTAGGGATGAAAATGGGGTCATTTCTGCCATGTTCTCAGGCCCAATTGGAGTGGGTGGCTCTCTTAGAGCTGAGATCTTTGCAGTTATGGAAGGAGTCCAGAAAGCTAAGGAGTTGAACATCAGGAAACTCATAATTGAAGGGGATTCAGAGGTGGTGATAGGGTGACTGATTAAAGATCACAATGGCTTATGGAAGTACAATAATGAGAGGAGGAAATTCAAGTGGCTGGTGCGGGAGATGGAAGTTAAGACATGTTGGGTTAAAAGATCGGCTAATTCCCTAGCTGACGGTTTAGCTAAACAAGGGGCAGAAAGGGATTCACTGTTTTGGGTTAAGCTGTAACTTTAGTGTTTTTTTCTTTCTTTTTTTCCTTTTCTTGAGGTTCTTTGCTGCTCTTGGAAGATAAGTGTGTTTGTCTTCCTCTTGTAAATCTTCTATTGATGATTTAATGAAAGTGTTATTGATCAAAAAAAAAAAAAAAAACACAACCATTGCCTTCTTGCTCCCTGATGCCAAGGCATTTGGTGGGCTGAAAGTTTACAGCCACAAGAAGGAAAGAAACTCAAACCATACCAAAGTCCAAACTCATAACCAAGACCAAACCCGTAATTTGACCCATACCTATATCCAACCCCATGTTTTTTATCCGTTCCCAATTATGGATCCATATCCCACATTCCTATTTCTAGCCCATATTACTCAAAATCCAAGTCCATGGCCAGCCAAACCATTAATTTGGAGCATGGACTGGGAATTAGTGCAAGTTTAATGAACCTTGGTGTTGAAGTTTCTTGGAATTAAAGGCAGCATAGTCAACAGTCATCTTGAAGATTGGGAATAAAGAAAGCATATGGAAGATCAACAATCATCTTGAAGTCTTGGTCACCAAGAAATGCATGAGGAGTTAAAGTTGCAGATTTTTTTAGTAGAATTAATTAGAGGATAGCAATTAGGATGTAATGCTAGTTTCCTTCCCTAGTAAGGAAGCTTGCCACTATAAAGGGATGTACTAAATACTAGTCTGTTTCAGTAGTGAATGAATTTAGTATTATCTTGAGCATTTTGTGCCTTTGTGGCGTGATTACATCATTTTCTTAGAGTTGTGACTCTAACTGATTGGTGTGACTCCAATCTGGAATTAGAGTTCTAAGGTGAGACTCCAAAGGCTCTAAGTCAAGGCTGTGTGATTCAGCCCACTACTCTCTCTCAGCATCCTTTCACACATAGTTTTCAAGGTGCCATGGTGACGCTAGGTAACAAGGGGGGCACCTTGTCGCCTAGTTGTCTAGGCGATGAATTTTTTAAGTAAAAATCATATATCTTAGGGTATTCCCTAGATTCCATAGCAACTAGCAACCATATTTCCTTAATAATTATCCATATTTTTCATAAGAAAAGTATAAATTTCATGTTAAAATATAGAAAATCAACATATTCATGAGAAGAAAAAGAAGAAAAGAAAATTAAAAAAATATGGGGCTGAACCTCTATTTTTGTTATATTAAAAAGAAACTAGTATATAAACACACAAAATAAAAGGACTGTGGGGTAACCCAGTACCCCCAAGGGTAGAAGCTTTTGCATGACTGGTGGTGCATGACAGTATTCTAACTTCTGACCACCTGAAATCCAGAGGTTTACAGCTAGCAAACTGCTGTTATATGTGCAACCAGGAGGAACAAACAGTCTTTCATCTGTTCTTCTCATAGTGTGGCAAACTTCATTTGGAAGTTTTTCTCCTTCCTGTTCAGAGTGAATGCCTTTCATCCTTCGGTTCCAGCAGAGATATTCTCCAAATGGCCAAAAATCAGAGGAAGCAGGAAAGTTAAAATCTTGTGGAGCTGTATTCCTTTCGCAGCATGCTGGTCCATCTGGAAAGAGAGAAACAGAAGGGTTTTTGAGGGCAAGTCAAAAAGTATTGAATACCTGGTATCAGGAGTGGGCAATTTGATTGCAACTTGGGCTCTTAGTCTTCCAGATTTTGATCAAGTGAATAAGACTGATCTGTTAGAGAATTTCTGGAGCACTCTTGATTTGCATCCTTGTAACAGTGATTCCTTTTCAGTTTGATATCTGATACGTATTTGGTTTGTCAACTTGACAACCATCATTTTGAGATGTACTGCCTTTTTTCAGTATAATGAAACTTCCTTTTTATCCTTAACACACACACACACACAAAATGAACATTTTAGTTTAAAAATAAAAAGAAACTAGTATATAAACACACAAAATGAATATTTTAGTTTAATAATATGTATTTTATAGTTATAGTCTCAAAAATTAAGAATATAAAAGTATTTTACAACACCATGTACAAATCTGCTTGGTGATTAGGCAAGGCAACCCTCTAAGGGCACCTTGCCACCTAGGCATCACCTAGACAACATGGTTTCACATATCCACCATTCTCAAGTTGCATAGTTGGGTTTTGAGCCATTCTGCATTGTGCCTGGAGCAAGCCATAAAATGAAAATCTCATAAAGACTATTAGCCATTAGGCTAGGTCATCTAAACAGCTTACAGAAATAGGACCACGGGAAATCTTCCACTTTATACTTAATAAATGGATGAAAAGCATCCTCTTCAGACTTGTGGTACAAGAGTATAGGCTAGCCAATCAGAGAACTTATGATTTCAGGAAATTAATAGTAATAATACTATTGATGTAGGATTGCTTGCTTTGATACCAGCTGATTTAGGATGCAAATGAGCAAGGGATGAGTTTAGGAGGGTTAGAAAGTGATTCTTGGACTAAAGACAGGTATTGGTTAGGTTAGAAAAGGTCTTGCGGCTTCATTGTAAGAATTATAGGTTTGTCCCAAAATTGTGAAAACTTTCAATCGGAAAGTGGATCTAGGGTTAGAATTTTTCATTGAAAATTTGTGTTGATTTGTCCTAGATAAATGAAAGTAGCAACCAAGTTTGGCGTGGTTCATAGTACATGTTGCACAATAGGGCGGAAGTTCTTGGATGTGGAGAAAACTCAAAAAATCATGGAATCTAGCATTCTAGGTGGAATTTTGGGATGATATTTCGAGGGATGAAAGGGTGTAAGTATATATGGGGGGCATCCAAATATTGGATGGATCAGAAGTTGTTTGACACAAATAGATGAAAATGCTAGAAAGGGAAACATTTTAGTTTTTGATGAAAATAAAGGAAAACTCACCTAAATCTATTCCAGTACTCTGAGGATATTTAATTCTTTTTTGATAAATGAGTTAAATTTTATTAAGTTTGAAAGTATAAGCATTACAAGTGTCCCTTAGAGAGGCATGCACTGCTACCTCTCTGTAAATAAAACAGAAAAAATTACAAGTGAGCCCAAAACAAAGACTGTCTATTCACCCCTTGCTTAGCAAAAGCATCCGCTAACCCATTAGCTGATCTCCTCACCCATTGAATTCTCAAGATCATATTCTTAGTGATCCATAAGAATTTTTTTCTCACCCCTGTAGCACCATATTACAGATTCTGGATCCTTTAACCAACCCACCACCAATTTTGAATCTTCTTCAATCACCAAATTGGTTATATTCACATTAGCAATTTGTGCTCCTTGTAGGGCTGCAGACAATTCTTCTTTGATAGAGTCCCCAATCCTCACTGGGCCAGAAAACAAGGCTATCAGTTTGCCTTCCAAGTCTCTCACAACCCCTCCTATACCAGTAGGTCCCTGGATTCCCTCTACTACTCCCATCAAAATTCAATTTCACATAGTCTTCAGGTGGAGGTAGCCATACGGCATTTATTCTTTCCTTCTTGAAGAACTTCTGGCAACTACTCCCCAATTTCTCCATATATATATTTTGATCAATAACAATAGCTTTATTAAGAAACAAAGCCAAGATGGGA